TCAGACAGAGTTTTTGCTGTTATTTGGGGGGGTTAGTTATTTGGTTTTCCCCCATTTCAGACAGTCCATCAGTCATTTTGTCAAGAGTGAGGGTTTGTGTCTACATAACGTACGTTTTTAGCACCGGCGTCTTTTTTCAATTGTTTCCAATGGGGAGTGAGTGCATAGCGCCACAAGTGATTGCCTCGAGAAAAAGTCCTACTCCCAGCTCCAAGGTTTTCGTGTTTGGATTAAAGTATCTCATCTTTCAGAAAAGACATTAGGGGAGAAACTTGTTTTTGGCTATTTTTGGTGAAAGAAGAAGTTTGTAACTATCAAAGCAGACTGTTAAAGGCTGACTGGACTTTTCAAGTTTGCCAGTGGCATTAAGAAGAGGTCGGGCAGTAAGAACTGAACCTACATCCCTTCTGTAGGAAAACAAGGAGGAATGGTTCATCATTTACCTCTGAGCTCTCCAGAAACTGCAGCACGTCGGGATCCTTCAGCAGGATGGGATGCTTCACTGTTCTCATCAGATACCTGAAACACAGACATTATTTATCATCATGACCACTTTCTGATCTAATTGATTGCCATTACACCGTTATTACATCCATGTTATACCATTATTACACCCTTATTACACCCATGATACACTATTATTACACCTATATGACACTGTTAGTTGACCCATATATCACCCAAGTAACATCAGTATTACACCTATGTGACATAAATATAACAACCACATTACACCGTAATTACATTGTTATTAGACCTATTTTACACATGGACAGAGCCTGTCAAATGACTGTATCCTTCAGAATAGAAAAAACATTGAAGGGTTTCAGTCTAAATTCAAAAACACACAGTAGAAGTCTGAACATATATATATATTAATGTTTTAATACACTTGCATTTTTCAATCATCCTTATAATAACTTATAATTCAACCAAAAAGATGAAAAAAACTTTCTTTATGAATGATTATTATGACTGAAGATCTGATATACAAAAAGAAATATTCCTAAACAAAATATATAAATAAGAAAGAAGAAATTAAAACATCTGTGCGTGTCCATCAGTGTGGAGTTCTGCAGCTCTGAGCTCTATCGGCTGTCCTTCCTGTCAATCAAACACATAAGCAAAGGGCAGCAGAATGTCAGCCCCCCCCCCCCACCTCTCTGCTCTGGGTCCACAAGTCATAAACACCTTGCTTCCACCTCAGCAGCAACACAGACTGTTGCATACAGTTTTTTATTTGTTTCTCTTTTAAAAGTTATTTTGTTTACCTCCTTAAGTTTGTAATCCACTCTTTTCACTTTCCTTTAGTTTTAAAGAGAACATTTTTTTTAATTAAACTTCTATAAAATAAATAAAAACTAATTATTTAATCAAGTCCAATTACGATATCTGGGTGTCTTTAAAGGCCTGTATTTTTTCATCCCAAATGTATCACATTACTCTAAACCAGGGGTCGGCAACCCCTGGCACGCGTGCCAGCATTGGCACGCGGCCCCGTAACCAGTGGCACACTAGGAATAAGTGGAATAAGTGTGCACAATATTTAAATTGTATTTTCGGATCCTGAACGAGACCGCCGTCAGAGCGCGTCTCCCTGTTACCTGCAGAAGGAAGCCATGCACGTAGCGCAGCCCCGCTCTCTTTAACTCCAGGTGACTTTCTGCCGCTTTCCTCCGTGGTGCAGGGCTGATCGTTTCACCACAGAGGAAAGCACTTCACAAATTGCAGTACTCATAAGGAGCTTTACAAATGCCGCAGTTTTTGCGTGGCTGTGTGTGTCTTTAGTTGAAAGCCCAGTGGCGATCTGCTCATCTCTCATTGAAATAATATGCTACAAAGGGGCGGACTGGCCATCTGTGTGTTGAACTTTCCTGTCGGCTCCCAGACCGTAGTCGAGGAGGGCAGAAGCAACAAGCTTCAGGTTCAATAACCCACTTTAGCTTAAATGACTGGAGAGAGGCGAGCTCTTCTTGGGAGGCCGTTGCATTTATTTAGCTGTTCTTCTGTTTCACAAAATACATCACAGACCTCTGTTTTTCTGCTGCCTCGTTTCACTTCCAGAAACATACACACGCTCACTCACTCTCGCTCTACCATCCACACACACACACATGCACACGCCACACCCCTCTCTCTCTCTCTCTTAAAGGGACAGCGATCTCATCTCACTCTGCATAACATGTGTGTTCTGGAGAATTACAGAACGGACGATCGTCCTTATTATTATGCCGTTTAAACCAATTATTTAAATGTGTTTGTTAAATTCGGTATCATGTAAGTTGCGCTGACAGGTCCACACACTGCTTCCCCGCAGCGAGGCTCCCCCCGCCCTCCTGTTGATAGTTCACGAGCGTCAAGCTCCTCAACGACCCCCCCCCCCGTTGATAATTCTCGATCGTTGGCACGCTGATAACAATTTTTTTTTTTAATGGCACTTCATATCAAAAAGGTTGCCGACCCCTGCTCTAAACAATACAATCTCAAAAAAATACTTCCCTTTTAATAAAATCTAATATATTTTCCAAACCTTCAAACTTTACCGTTTCAATCCTTAATCCCTAAAACTCTACTTTTTAACAAAATATAACAATTCTTAGATGTTATGTGTCCCTGAATGCAACGCTGAGGATGGATTTGAAAACTGATCCTACTCACAGCTGCATAACTAATTAATACATGATGTGTATTAATATTGATTGTGCTGCATTATGACTATGAGAAAATTGTTTCGAAAATTATTTGTTAAAGACACATTTTGCATGTTTTATGTTTCTGCCCATCCACCAACTAAAACAAAAATGATTATAGTGGCTCTGAAGTGTTTTAAATATCTTCCTCTTATCGTACCTCTCCAGTGCCGATCTCCTCTTCTCCACAAACTCGTTGGACGACTGGTCCTCCTTCCCCACCTTCACCTTGGTCATCCCTGCAGAAGAGTACACACTCATTACCATCAAAACTAATTAGCACCCGGGACGACAATCACTGCTGATCAACACACTGCACACTGTAAGTCTGATCCGTCAGCACTGACTGATCATCTCCTATCAGGTTCACATTTACACTAAAGCTTCACAGGGTAAAGACATGACCCTGTAGTCTTTCATGTTTTTAGGTAGTAGAACATCCTACTAAAGCACTAATATAGCTTTATTTGTATAGCACTTTTCATACACAAGATGAAAACAAACAACATAAAACAAACAGAAAATAAGACGTATAATTCAAGTCAAATTTGAAAACCTTTTACAGCATGTGTGCACATGATACCTTAGACCAGCGGTTCTCAAACTGTGGTCCGACTGCAGGTGGTCCGTGAAAAAAACAAAACGTTTTATTATCAAGGATTTTCTCAGAATACCTCATATGCAAACTGTAAAAATAAGTACATATATAAACGTAGTGTTAAAACGCAGATATTTGTTATTGTTAATTATGGACAACACTTAATTTCACCACTGGTTACCCATGGTTACGTGTGTGCATGCAACACCACAAACATGGATCGGTGGCTAGCATCAGGTTCTCTGAAGAGAAAATAGGTTAACGTTACCGTTAATGAAGATAATGAGAGTGAGTCGGAGGCATCTACATCTACAAGCCAGATTTCGCAGAAAAAAACAAAAAAAGGGAAGATGAAGAGAAAATACAATGGGAACTACTTGGAACTGGGATTGACCTACACAGGCACTGAAGATGAGCCTTTGCCAGTATGCGTTCTGTGCTCTGAGACACTGGCTAACGAGAGCCTGAAACCAGCTAACATTCGCAGTCAATCTTGGAATCTGGCACTACGTTTATATATGTACGTATTTTTACAGTTTGCATATGAGGTGGTCCGCGAAAATCCTTGATAATAAATAGTGGTCCGCATAAACAAAAAGTTTGAGAACCCCTGCCTTAGACAACAAGAAGGTCGAAAGAGTATAGAATAAATCCAGAAGAAAAGAAAATATTAAATAAAGTAAAAATAACCAAACATCAACAACAGATAACCCACTCAGTTAAAGTAAGAAAGAGGTTAAACAAAATGAATAAATAAAAGAAAGTAATAAAAAACTAAAATATATATTTTATTGTTTTATAATAATAATAAAAAAATATTATTATTATTATTACTTTAAAAAAAATGTTTTATTTACCATTAGAAGCGGGGTGTTGCTACTAACAAGCTAAGTAAAGAAAAGTGTGTATTCAGCTGCAAAAAACCTCAACCGAGTTTGCCTCTATTTTCTGGCAGGATGTTCCACAGTTTTGGATAGGGTTGGGTTAGGCTGGCGTAATGGATGCATTTTATTTGGGGGGACTTTTTAAATATTTAAATAGATTGCTCCCGACACAGGAACATTAAACGGTAGAGAATCAGCAAGACAAGTGGTCTTTGTATGAAGGGTTTGTTATGATTATGGAGAACTAAACACTCTACAATGGTTGAACCAGACATCTTTAATCTGACAGCTGAGCAGACGGCAGAGGGCCCGAAGAAACAAAGCCCAGTCTGCTCTGATTGGTTAACTGGCCGTTTCTCTTGTGATTGGTCAACCGAGAGATGTCACAAGTCCTCCATTTAAAATGTTATAGTAGTATTATTTAACATTAGCATAAATTCATACAAAGTACCAAAACAGAAATTATTCATAATGCAGAGTAGCACTTTTCAGAATAATATTTATCTTAATCCTCGATTATAACACCACCAGGTATCTTAATTCATATTTATTTTAATTAATTTCTATATCAGTAATATGAACCTGCAAAGTAACTATTAATTAATCTGGTCACATAAATGTAGTGAGTCAAGATTTCTTCCAATTTGTAGTGGAGTAGAAGTATAAAATAGCACTAAATGGAGAATGGAAAAATGGAAATACTTAAGTAAAGTACAATTACCTTAAAAATGTACTTAGGTACAGTACTTCAGTAAATGTACTTAGTCACTTTTCACCAATGGACATGGACTTGATGGAAGATTGAATAATTGTGTTCTTAATGTGGGGCAAACCTTATTGATACATTTGGTATTTTACATATGTCTTATTTTACTGTTTTTAATTATGTTAAATGAGTTAGAGTAAAGAAAACACCAACATTACATACCTTTGAACTCTGATTTATGTTGTTATATTTATAATGTTGGCTGTTGTTTGCTGCCTTTAACAATGTACCTGAATGACACTTCCAGACTCCTGGACCTCAGTTTGAGAATAGCTAGTGTTAGAGAGTGTGGTGAGGGCTACACTTACCCACAATGCTTTTCTCCGGCGCAGGGGGGACGATGTAGCCTATGTGCAGGTACTTGGAGGCCAGTTTACTGTGCAGACCCAGGAAATCACTGAAACGCCTTTTCACTGAGAACTCCTGGCTCTTAAACAGAGATATGGACGTCTGGAGGAGAGAGGGAGAGAGGGAGAGAGGGAGAGAGGGAGAGAGGGAGAGAGAGAGAGAGAGAGAGAGAGAGAGAGAGAGAGAGAGAGAGAGAAGAGATGTGATCCTGCAGCAGTTCTGTTTCAGATATACTCTCTGTTGCTTCTTCTTACATTTCAAATAGTGGTTTATGTGCATTTAGCTTATTGACTTCACAAATGTTTTTTCAGAAAGGTGGAGCAGGAGAAAAAGAGGGAGGGTTGTGTCTTCTAAAACTGTGTGATGCACTATACACACATTTAGGTTTCAAAGCCATGGAAAAGTGCATTTGGCATAATAGCTGATCTTTAATTCACTATAAAGGTTTATAAATTAATTTCACGGGACAACTTTGACCGGAGAGATTTCATTTCATCTTCCACAGATTGTATCGGTCAAAGTCCGGTACATTTCCGGCGAACGGAAAAACTGTACATAGGAAAAAAGATTCTGATTTAGCTAAACAGAATTTTCCTGCGGTGCCATCCTCATGAAAGAAATGACACGTTTGACACGAGTAAAGGTGAGGATCTAAGAACAGCAGATGTGTTTAAGGGGATTTCATTTTGAAGGAAAACCGGAGATATTTATAGTTGCTGGACTTCAACTGATTTTCCTGGTTAATATCCGCTGACAGATACACTGTACAGAGAACATATACTTCAGATATTTTCCACCTTCAAACTTCACGATTGTGGTAAAGAACAGCAGATGTGTCTGAGATGTTGTTATTCTCACCTTGATCGACACTTTGTAGGCCATGTACGCATTCATCCCATCTCCTGGAACACACACACAAAAACACTCCATTATTTCATCAGCATAAGCAGTAGAGTGCACACACACTATGCAAACAGTATCAAAGGATAAATAGACACACTAGAATACACTCAGATACGGGTTCAACTGGTTCCTTGTGTGTTCTTGTAGTCAATCTTTGGGTGTTTCAGCTGTTTTATTTACCGTCTTCTTAGAGCATGTTTACACAAAGGGATGGTCAAGTGAGTGCAGTAAGTAAGAGCTGATAATAAAGTCCTGCTCAGTCTGCTAATGGTTATCAACCTCATGTGTTCTGATGCCCTCAGGACACTTTTAAACTAAATGTTCTGTTTGTGCCGTCACACACTTCGGTTTTATGGGGCAACATTTTAGAATAGAAACCAATGATGAGCTTTTTCTCCAATGTGTGTATTCTGAAGCTTTGAGGCTCGATGTTCATGACCGGCTGTACCCAGAGATTCATGGATTGAAAAAGCTCTTTAGGACATTATTTATGGACTCGTCTTTCTCTTCTCATTCTTTGTAAATTCTACATAGTTAATGAAAACAAGAAATGTGACGAAAATGTATAAATATAATTGAATAATTTGATTAACATTAAAAGCCCAGCCTATTTGATGTATCTACGTTATTAGTATTTATTTTATATTTTACTTTCTTTATTACAAGTCTTCACCAAAAAAGTAGCGTAATGACACATTTGAGCCTGCAGGGGGTGCAAACTGCATGCAGAGCTTCAATGCTGTTGCATCAATAAAGCATTAGCAGAATCATTTGGAAGTATGATGACAGTGTGACCGAGTCAGTGTCGACGCAGCACTTTACTTTCTGCTGACAGCACATGAAGGGAGAACAGCTGAGGAGAATTATCATCCACAAACATGTTCAGTATCCTCAAGGAGAAAAGAAGAAAGAACAGAAAGAAAAGGTGGGGAAGGCTGATGGGAAATGTAGTCTTAGTTTGTAGATACACTTTAATAGAGTAGTGTAGGAGAGAGTCCTAAACCTTGAAAATAATTGTAGTGCTTCCTGTTCCCTTCTCCTGAGGTTTTTTTCAAATTCGTTTTCCGAAATAAGGTCTGTGGTTAACACAATCTTTAGGCTTTGCTCAACGACTTAAATACGTCAGTGAATACTGCACATGTGAATGTCCTAAGCTTTAGCGTGTCAGAAAAAAAGCGGTTGCTAACAAGAGACTAAATGAGACTACTAAACTACGCCGAACATTAGCCACTTTTAGCTTAGCGGTGGTGATGTGAAGTCACGTGACCGTTGTGTATGAAGTTAACATTACATGTCAATTGTTAGACTTTTTTACCCAAAGCCACTTACACAGACTCAGTGCAGTGTCTTTCCCAAGGACACAACAACAAGCTGACTGCAGTGGGGATTGAACCAGCGCTCCCCTGATCCAAAGATCAACGTACTCCCCCACTGAGCCACAGCCTCCCCCCAAATGGATAGCCTTACGTTAGCTTTTTACTCCTGTCCTATTGCAGTAACGCTTCAGAAATCATAAAAGCGGTGTTAATGTGGGAATTATCCCGGTGAACAAAACTTGTAAGTATCATAAACGTGTGTTTGCCAAATATGGTATTTCCTGCAATATTCGAAAATCCAATGAAAAAAAAAAAGGGTTTATAGTCAGGAAAGCCTTTGCGATCTAACTTCCAGGTCAGCCTACACAACGCACCAATCTGTTTTCCAGTAAATGAAAAGAATCATCAAATTCCAGAATCTACTTGGGAATCCCCTTTTCTTGCTGCACTGATATCAGCTGGATTTCTCTTGTCTTTCCTGTTTAAAATACACATTTCATTGTTCCAGGATATTCCAGGACTACAAGGAAGTGGAATCAGAGTGTACTCACCCACTTTCTCTGGGTCAGAGACTGATATGTGCATGTCGAATGAATCGTCGCCCTTCTCCTCTTCAATCTTACAAAACAGAAACAAAACATGTGTGAAAACGGTCACTGCATGTTTCCAGTTTTACAGGTTTCCATTTCCTTGACTTTCCTTCTTACAGTAAAGTCTGATCAGTATACGAAGAGGGCAGCTGAACAACTAGATGCAACATGTTAGTAAGAGCTTCAGGGAGAAAACATACTTTTCTCCTTCTCTGTTTAATGCTTGAAAAGTATATATTTGATTTTGAATTTCCCATCTGTTGATCAATAAAGTATTTTTTTTATATACGTTTTTGCATTTTTATAAAGAAAAATTGAATGTTTTTTTTTTCTTGTATCACTTCACCACAAGTAATTATTAGCAATTTATCATCATACTTGCCTCCCATTTTCTATTATCAGTGAGAGCATTTCTTAAAGGTATTTTAAAAATAAAATAAAATATTAAGAGCTAACTGCCTGTATGCGGAGAAACAGAGGAAAATGCCAAACAATATAAATGTTTATTGAACATTATTGAGCTTATTGAAGGCCGCAGGATAACAGTATGACAATTGAACAATAAACGGTTAATAAAGCAGTCACATCATGGCACTTGCTGAGGGGATAAAAAGTGCTGTGTGCACTCACCTCGTCGAAGGAGGAGTGTGTGAACATGTCATCATGGGCGAGGCCGAGGCGGGGGGTGAGGATGGAGATGGGGGGGGTGATGGGGGTGATGGCGGGCGACGGGCCATCAGACAGCAGGACGTCCCTCTCCGGACTGTCCAACGAAACCTCCTCTGTGGCCTCTGCAGCAGGACAGATAGAGGGTGATCGAGCATGAAAATGGGGCAAACAAAGGGATCACAATGTTTTCTCTCAAGTTACTTTCTATGTAACATGATGTTAATTCATTAAAGAAGGACTTAAGAGAATAGGAAAAGCAATCTCGGAGTGTTATTGTGCAGGGCGGCCATCTTTGCAGGATAGTTTCTAAAGAAACGGCAGCAGCCAACAATAATGATCATCTTTCGACTCGTCATCTGTCAGCTCTTGCATCTGAAATGAATATAGAAGCCAAGAGTATAGATGCCCTAACAGAGAGAATTTGTCTTTGTTTTTAATGATTTGAATAATAAAAGAAGGGTCAAAGGATCTTGTAAACTTGCCGCCCATCACTGTTACTGATGTCAGCGCACATCTGGTGTTTGTAGTTAGTGCCAACTCCTGTCGGCAATGTGAACATTTTAAATATTTGGAAGCCAATGTAATGTTTACAAATGGATAAAGTGGATACAGGACCTTCAGATCTAGAGGCCCAATTACAACTATACAATCATTTCGACAGAGGTAAGTTGGCTAACGGTATGCTAACAGAATGCTATCAAAACCATGGTTTATCATACAAAATGTATTTAACGGTATATTTATATATACTGTATACTGCTACATTTCATGTTTCAAGTCTTATTGCATTTGTAGTGGTTTGTGTTACTGTAGTCAAGCAATTTCTTTCTGACAATATACAGTCAGCAGATGGCTGCCACACTAGCTATTTGGCGTCTCTTGCTAATGTTGGTTGCGTCTCCCTAGTTTAGTTTCCATGTTGGAAATGTATAAAATATAATCCCATGGTCTTTTAATTAGTTTTGTTTGTTTTTCTTCGGCATTAGCAGTTATAGCAAAAGACATAACGGTGCCTTACGACCATGTTTAAAAAGTTTAAAGGGAAAAGTTTCCCTACATGTTACGTCAATGGGATGCTTTCGTTGGTATATTTCCAAGATGGCCGACTGGTTGTTGATGAAATCACATTCCCATTCCCTGTTGGGTTTCTGTATGTCCTATTGTTCAACAAAAAGTTTGACAAACCACCAATGTACTTTTTACCATGTTTGGTATATTTTAGTACTTCCCAAATGAAGCCTTACACTCTCATCATGTCAGATTCGCGACGGACAGTAAAAGATGATCAAAAATGTATACGGAAGGACAATAAATATATAATTATTAATCCCTGCATAATTCTTCCTGTCTCCTACATTACCCTGGATATTTTGGCCTGGAGGCGATGTGTAACCAACAACAGCGCACATTTGCGCGGGTGTGGAACAGCGAAATGTGGACGATTTCATGGTAAAACAGTTCTTGTGAAACATAAGATATATATGTGTGTGTGTGTGTGTGTGTGTGTGTGTGTGTGTGTGTGTGTGTGTGTGTGTGTGTGTGTGTGTGTGTGTGTGTGTGTGTGTGTGTGTGTGTGTGTGTGTGTGTGTGTGTGTGTGTTTGTACCTGCGAACAGGTCCTCTGTATCGTCATCAAACAGCGAGTCCCGTTTGGGTCCGTTTGAGTTGGTGCTGATGTCTTCAGCAGGTAGACTGGCTGGTCCTGACTGTAAACACACACACAGAAACACACATAACATAAGTTAGTCATTGTGCAGCAGGAAACTTTATTAACTCAGCCATAACAAAGGTGCTTCATTCTGCATCAATGTAGATAGATCTAAGGAGAGACCACCCCTCCTTCATCTTAAAAATGCAACACTTCCTCTGAGGTCCACAGTAATGCATAATTTCACTGTCACATCAAAGTTTCTCAATGTTCAAGAGGAGTGAGTGAAAGCAGTGCATGGACACATCTGTACAGCAGTTGAAAAGAAGCAGAATATTCCACAGAAGAAGAAGAAGAAGTGTGTGTCATGCATCCTGCTGAACTCAGAGCTTCCTGCATGCAGCTGCTCCTCAAACACTGAAGGATCAGCAGCGGATCATTACAGATGACATCAGAGGGAGGTCAGTGTAAATAGTTATACTGAGTTAGCACAAAATAAAGAAAATCCAGATAATACCAGCTCCAAAAGAAAAAACACCAGTCCTGTTTTTAGTGAAGTTACCTAAAGTGAGAGGAGACAGCATCTGGCAGAAAACGGAGGAAGTATGACCATTATTTGAAGCTAGGATTTTCATGGACTGGTCCTGGCAGGGGCGGACCAGCCATCTGTGTGTTCTGGAGAATCACAGAAAGGCCGGTCGTCAGCGGGCCGTTGACGGCCGGCTCGGTTTGCTCACGGCCGGCACCGCCCTTTATTTTAATTGTAATAATACTTACTTTGATCAAAAGCAAGTACCGGTCAAGGCTGCAGCCAGAGGATGATCTGCGTTTATTCCTGTCTACATTGCATCCCCGCATCATCCGCCTCATCAAAGACGCAGACTCATTGTTCCCACTAAAGTAGGGGTGAGTGCAGGGGCCACCCCAGTTGGCAGCTTTGTTTTGAAAGAAAAGTTGTGGCTCATCGGACATTTATGAGAGAAAATCCCTAATGTCCGAGTGCAAGTGAATGCAGCACAAGACGCGAGCCTTGTAACCCCTCCCCCGGCCTGTTAAGATGATGACCTTACGTGTGTATGTGTATATTCTTTTTTCTTTGAGGGGGTCTGCCCCCAAAAAACTGTTTTAAGTCCTGAGAAAGTCAAATAAGATGGTGTGTAAAACTACACTGCCCAGCCAAAAAAAAGTAACCACTTTGATTTAACTAGGCCAGTAGGTAAGGGCATTCCACTGGATAATAACTGCAGCGATGTGTATATGTTTTAGCTCTGTCTCTGGCACTGTTATTTTGGGGGTCGTGGGCTGAAAAGTTTGGGAACCCCTGCTCTAGTCTAGAGTGTATCAAAAATAAAAAGCTTTTTGAACATTAAGCATGTCACAGTAGTGGCACTAAATACAAATATGAACCTGAAAATGAGCCTAAAAGGGCCCCTTTAATAGAAATACATGACCAGCCTGTGCAGAAAATAAATAGATTAAAGTTTTGTCAAATTTAGAAAATCACTAATGATGTATGGATATTAAAAGCTGGTGCATTTTAAAAGGACTTTGTATAACAATATGGAAAAAAATCAAATAACAACTTTTTGGAGAAAATACCCCAATATAATGATTTTATTTTTATTTTATATTGTAAGATTTACTAATAATTTTTTTTTTTTTTTTTTATTAATAAACATCAATTATGTTCATATTTTTTTAACAAGTTGTAAAAGGGAAATAATAGATATCTAAAACTGTCTGTGAGGTTCAGAATATCCCTTTACTGTAATGGAGTATTTTCAAACCAGAAAAAGACAATTATGTGATAATACAATATTCAGAATCTAAGACAATATCTTGCCACATAAATCAATATGGATATTAATATGAATATAGTGCCCAGCCCATTTAATACTAGCTAAGAAGACAATAATATAAATTCATAAAACTCTCTACGCTCTACTGAAATGACTCCACATTGTGGACTGGAAATGATGCTAATAAAAGCACAATAAAAAGGATAACTGCTTTTCATTTTGATATATGGACATGACCTGATTAATGTTCAATTATTAACTCATAGTATTATATATCAACATTACCTCAGTCAATTTCTTACATTATTGATTATTGTACGATATTTTATGACCTACGTTATTGTGAATCAATGGACATGAATAAATGTGTCCATATTTTGCATGACGTATTGCATATATGTGGCAGAAAATGGTCTTATAATGACAACACTATGGTTAAATATTGTCTGGCAAACTCATTTTCCCAAAAAAGTGTGAAAAAGTGCTATGCTGAACATCAAACTCATGGTTTAATAAATGAAGCTGGACTTAGTGGATTTTTTGGTTCATTGTTTCATTTCCTTATGCGTTTTAATGTGTTATTCTGGCTACCCGAACGGAAAGGTGACATGGAAAGGTTTTAATCTCCTGCAACATCTCCCGCTTGTAAACGCCACAAGCTCATCTGCATACAGCAGACAGTTACTGATCACATGTGCAGTGTGTCGTAACTAAAACACACACACACTGCTTTATGGACTGTAGAGCTTTATGAAAAAAATGTACAAGTTGCGACCTCAAAGAACTGACTGTAAATGTATGTGATGATTGACTAAAGGACATTTTGTCTGTAGAATAAAATGTATATATTTTAACTCCTGGAAATGTATATGAGGGTTTTGGAAGAAAAAAAACAACATAACAAAAATATCCTATACTCTGCCTTGTAGACAAAGGTCTTTCTGAAGGCACAGAACCCATTTATGCAACAAATTATAAAAGGGAAATCAACAATCAACGGAACAAAAAACAATCAATTCAACTTTAAAAATGAAATGGTTTGATTGAGGTTTGTGCAGATTGTGAAAGAAAAAATCGGAAAAACGTCAACAGTTTAAAACTCATATTTTAGATTTGGACACCTTTTTCTTTTCAATTTTAACAATTAGAAATTAATTATCTGCATCTCATGTTTGAAACACAATATTCTAACCTCACAATTCAGGTTATGATTATTAAAGTTCAGTTTGTTTTCACAGGTTCTTCCTGAAGCACAACTACAGTACATTGTTCAAAAGTATGTTTTTTGCGTAGTGTGTGGGAGAAAAACTCCCTCTGGAGGGAACACAGGGATTTTAGCCTTTGCAGACCATTTACATGCACTAAAACCTACATAAAACACTACAGGAAAGGGAAAACCCCCAAAAGAATATAATAGAGCCCCTTAGAATAGAGCCCCCGTTTTTGAAGGGTTTTATTCTAAAAAGAAGAATGAAAAAATGAATGAGCAAAAGATGAAACTTCATCTGTTGCTCCACTGAACAAACAAACTTGTAGACCTTCCACGTTTGGAGAGGAGGAAGAGGATGAAGAGATCTTTTTAGCTGACAAATAGAAAGAGGAGAGGATGTAGGAAAGATAAGGAGGAAATGAGTGATGATGAGAGGAGCTTCCTCACTCCTTACTCAGCAACACACACAGGGTTCAGAGGAAACACGCATGCACTCGCACAATATTTCACAAAGTTTAAATATTAGGATTTTAATAAACTTTTGATTAACCGCAGCCCTATTACAGACCTAAACATACACATAACTCAATGTCTAATTTATAAAAGTGTCTACATTTCAATTTATTTAACTTGGAAAAGTTATATTATTATTTTTATTTTTTGTGTGTCATGCCAAACAGTGGCCCATCCCATATCGAATTAAAAGACACCGCTATTTTACTATTGTAAAAAAAAAAAAGTTTAAAAAGCACTGCTAGCTGCTAGCATGGCTAAAAGCTGTGCAGGAAATAGCTTTGTGAAAAGGGAACCTGAGGACACTACACAGGAAGTTCATGTCAAGAGAGGAATGATGCTGACATCAGCGAAACACAATAACTGTAATCGAATAACACAATTCGTATTATATAATATAAAGGGTCACTGGGTCTATCCCCAGCCCTTGCAGTCAACATGAATACTCAACCCAAATTGTTTTACTAGGTCTACAGCAGCGGTGACCAAACTACGGCCCGGGGGCCAACTGTGGCCCGTTGTCCATTTTGAATTGGCCCTCAGCAAATTCAAAAAGTTTAATGGAATATAGCCCACACATGAAACTTGTGCTGGTCTTATATTGTACTCCTTAAATATATATGTAAACATATATTACACAGTTTCCATGTGTTAATAAGCCAACCTTTCAAATAAATAAATTCAGTCAATTAAAGTTGAAAACATTTTCTAACAAATCTTAGTTGATAAGAAAAGCCAAATAACTTATTTACATAACAAGCTTGAAATATACCCTTCCTATTTACCCTTATTTTATAAGCAATCTGAGGCTTCTGTTTTAAGGAATTGGCTCGAAACACATTTTGTAACAAAATAATTGAAACCATATGGAAAGCTGTGATGTAGGCTGTTTTTCATTTTCAAGTCATATTCACTTACATCATAATTTACCTAGATTTCATTGATTTTGCCAACTTATAACTTAACTTAACTTATGAGGCAATAGAGTGCCCTCATAAATCTATCGATCATAAATCTATATAATCAAAAATGATAAAAGTAGGGTAGACATGTGGAGATTATCCGACTGAACAAAACGTGATCCGTCTCTTAAATGTGTGTCAACCACAGACCTTATTTCCAGCTATTTTCCAAAATCCTATGGAGAAATTGCATTGCTTTTTTGTCGAAGGAACCGGAAGAAGCTTACTTCCGGGTTTTAGGACGCGTCACTGCGGCACTCTATACACCTCACCTCTAGTGAGTGGCCAAGCTACGGTAAGTGAGTCACTTTTCATCCAAAAAGACTTACAGATACGCACTTCAGCTAAATTACATGTAAAGTATAATTCAATGTGAAAATAACTGGATATAGAGTATATACATAAACAGGCCTGCTATTATCTTGCAAACTGAGACACTAAAGGTGGAAACATGTAAGTCAACAGTTATTATATAATCCACTTAACGCCAGTCCACCTTGAAGCGGCCCGACCCTGTGAGTGTTTAACATCCTTCATATTGTTTATGGGTCCTTGTGAAGCCGCGTGATGGCCA